AGAAGCGAACAGTTGAAATGGACAGAGGGGAGGACAACAGGTCAGCAAAGAGGCCGTCCTCCTGGGGCGGTGACACAGCAGAAGAGTCCATTACGCTGGAACGGTCACTAAAAAAACGGAGCTCTCCCCTCATGTCTACCTACCTAAACACCCACACCGCGTCGAGAGGAACAGCGTCCGCCCAGGGTCCGCGAAGCTGCTGTCTTCCCTCAGCAGCTCCGCCTTAAGCCCCAAGTACTCCGGCCACTTCAGGAATTTGCGCCATACTTGGTCCCCCGCAACCATGAGCTGCCTACGGGGGTGATACTCCTCCCCTGCCTTCCTGGACGGCCTCCACATAGCTTTCGTCCCTCAAGGGTGTACGAAAGAACAGCAGTGTGCAGTGTAGCAGCAATAGTGAAGCTATCTAAAGGGGTACAGAGAAGTGTAGTTGATACGTCACATCGACAATTGTACAGCAACAAATTTGACAGCGCTTACCGGAGTCTCCCGACGCACGAGAAATATCGTCAGAGTGCCAGAACCTCCTCGCCAAACCCATGACACGTTCGTCCATCTTGTCGCTCCTTTCCTTGCGAGGAGCCCAGAGGTATCTCCCCTTCTCCAAAGCTTCCTGTGGAGGTATGGTGTGGTCAGTTCTGTGCATCCGGGTACGCGCTGCACGGAACGTGCCGTCTCTCACACCGAGACCCTGTGCTCGCGCGGCAAGGCTGACGGCACCCTGCGGCTCAGCAGGTGCGCACGGCTCATCCGGGGTGCAAGGGTCATCAGGATCGCACGTGTGCTCCGCTCCAGCAGCTGCGGCAATGACGGTGTTGTAGGCAGCGCGGCCGATGTTGCTGTGGGAGTGTAGCTTCAGCGTCTCTATAGAGGCGACCAGTGCGCGAATGTTCTCCGCATCGACAGCAGCCTTCGTCGCCGCTGCCTCTCCAAGTACACAGTAACTCCCTCAGCTCCTCCTTCAACACATCATCCTCTAACACGCTCTGCTTCACCCCGTCGCGGTGCCGGTCATAGCCTGTTTGATTACGATAAATTTTGAAGCAGTTTTGACGAGAGAGGGGGGAAATGTGAGGATGGGACTCAATAGTTTCGTGGGAAGATGGAGAGCAGGGGAAATATACCGGAAATACAGTAGTCTAGCCTACATGGAAATTCAAACATTTGAGCAACACGCAAGATATCACCCTATCTCTTGCCGTACACCGCTCTGAACTCACCGTTTGCCGTTGTCGTGGAGGAGTCGTCGTGGGTTGTGGGCTTCTCCTCGGTCCGCTGAAAAGAAGCGCCTCAAGCGGATCGG